TAAATATAAACCATTAAAAATTACTTACTTGAAATTAAAACCTGAAACATACAAAAATAATTAAGGCAAATATTAGAAACAGTAAAAATTTCTTACTTGAAATAATAACCTGAAACATACAAAAATTATTAAGCCAAATATAAATCATTAAAAATTACTTACATAAAATTAAAACCTGTAATACACAAAAATTATTAAGACACATGTGAATCATTAAATAACTTAGTTGAAATCAAAATCTTGAAGATAAATATTATTAGAGAAACATAAATCATTGAATTACTTACTTGAAATAAAACCCTGGAACATACAAAAATAATTAAAACACATATGAAACATTACCTTTCAAACAGACAAAATGATTAAGACAAATATAAAACAATAAAAAAATACTTACTTAAAATTAAAACCTGAAACAGACAAAAATAATTAAGACGAATATAAGCCATTAAAAATTACTTATTCGAAATTAAAACCTGAAACAGACAAAAAGTAATTAAGACAAATATAAATTATTTCATTACTTACATAAAATTAAAACCTGAAACGTATAAAAATTATTAAGACAAGCATGAAACATTAAAAATTACTTACTTGAAATAAAAACCTGAAACACACAAAAATTATTAAGCCAAATATAAATCATTAAAAATTACTTACATAAAATTAAAACCTGTAATACACAAAAATTATTAAGACACATGTGAATCATTAAATAACTTAGTTGAAATTAAAACCTTGAAGATAAATATTGTTAGAGAAACATAAATCATTGAATTACTTACTTAAAATAAAAACCTGGAACATACAAAAATAATTAAAACACATATGAAACATTACTTACTTAAAATAAAAATCTGAAACAGATGAATATTATTAGAGAAACATAAATCCTTGAATTACTTACTTAAAATAAAAACCTGGAACATATAAAAATAATTAAAACACATATGAAACATTACTTACTTAAAATAAAAGTCTGAAACATACAAAAGTTATGAAGACACACATGGAACATTACTTACTTGAAATAAAAATCTGAAACAGATAAATATTATTAGAGAAACATAAATCATTGAATTACTTACTTAAAATAAAACCCTGGAACATACAAAAATAATTAAAACACATATGAAACATTACCTACTTAAAATAAAAGTCTGAAACATACAAAAGTTATGAAGACACATATGAAACATTACTTACTTGAAATAAAAATCTGCAACAGATAAATATTATTAGAGAAACGTAAATCATTGAATTACTTACTTGAAATAAAAACCTGGAATATACAAAAATAATTAAAACACATATGAAACATTACTTACTTAAAATAAAAATCTGAAACAGACAAATGTTATTAGAGAAACATAAATCAATAAATTACTTACTTGAAATAAAAGCCTGTAACATACAAAAATGATTAAGGCACACATAAATCATTCAATTACTTACTTGAAGTTAAATCCTGAAACATACAAAATGTAATTAAGGGAGAAAATCGAAAGATCACGAATGAAATGTTTTCGAAAAATCGAAATCGAATTTGAAACCGAAAAATCCGAAATAAAACTTCGAGGAAATTCGGAACTCTCAAAACTGAGAATAAAATCGCGATGAGGTTTGCAAACGTCAAGCCCAAAATAAAATCTTGGAGAGTTAAAAATCTGAAAAACCGAATTGAAGTCAGAAGAATCTAAAATTCGATTTAAAATCAGAAAATCCAAAAGTCTCGAAGCTCCGAGTAAAATGAAAGAACAACGTGTCTTAAAAACCAGACAAATTTTAGAATACAGAAGAAGATAGAGAGGAAAACTTGGAAGCTAGAAACAAAATTTGTTAGATTCTGAAAAATTCAAAGATCCTGAAATATGAAATGTGAGTACAGGATGCAGGACACATTCACTCTCTCACTCATACTGTAATACATATGCCCTAACTGTACCTCTTATTCTAAAATTGCACTCGTATATAAAACTTTGTAAAGAAACTTTGGGAAAAAGGAGAAAGGGAGAAAGTTGTAAGAACTTTCTTCTAAGTTTGAAGAAATATGTAAGTTAAAAAATTGTGACAAAGATGAGTGCAATTTAGAATAAGAGGTACTTACAATGTGCGCA